TTCAATATCCATTCTACTATCACCAGTACCTTTTCCTTTCTTTAAAGTTAAATACAGTTATATTTCACTTTATTTAAGATTTTGCAATTTCATATCTCAGATCAAATCAGAGAGATATCCTTGCCCTGGAAGATCATTTGACTTGTATCCAGTGTTTTTTCACAAAGTCTCTAATGTCAACTTCGAAGCCACTAGACAAACAATAAAGAATTACAAGCCATACCAAGATCGTAAATCCAGCAGCAGTTGAGAAACGGCAATTCATAGATAACAGTAACCAGAAAGAGAGTGAGTTGAAGAAAAGACGATCAACAACAAGACAAGAAAGATTGAAGGCGTTATCATTTTTGGAAAATGCCTGTGAATGGACGGATGATGAAAATGGTATACAGTATATCTAACTTTCTTAACTCATATTAGTCTATTTAATCAATAATCCTTATATATAATAACATGGTCCCGGGTTTTACCTTAGGTGACATGATTCATCAGCCATTGTCAGTTTACCATGCTACAAGCATATTGCACTATAATGAAAGTCAACTATGGAAGTGGAAGAGAGAGGAAAATAAAATCCTGAGTACAAAAGAGAATTCTCACCATATTAGTATGAGTTGATAGTACTTAGATTAAAAAATAATTGTTTTTAAACAAGCTTACAGGAAGTGGTCCTACTCTAGCATGGCCAAAGATGGATGTGAGATTAGTAGAGATTTGGCAGACTGAGGTCAATAATGGTACTGAGATTAACCGTAAATGGTTTGAGAAACAGGTACTTCAAGTCTTTAAGGAGGAGTACCTGGATCAGGTCATGGTAGTAGATGGAAAAAAGATATTCTCTTATCCACTCTATGATAGCTGGTTTCGAAGCTTCAAAGAATGATACAAAATAACCTACCGTGCTCCCACCTCACAGTCACAGCAGACTCCAAGTGAGTATAGAGAAATTGTGTCACATTTGTTAGGCTTTATTTGTCATAATACGATACCCTGTACCAATAAAAAGACTTATACTATTGGACAGTATCAACTTTCCAGCATCTTCAATGTTGATCAGATAGCTTTATCTTTTGACTTTTATCGAAAGTGTACCTATGCACCGAGAGGTAGTAAATCAATTAAAAAACGAGTCACCAATAAATCATGGACTAAGTAACAAGCATCTCTAATAATCATAATTGCTGCTGATAGACTACTATATTACAAGCCACAGTTGATATTTTATAGAGAGGGAAAAGAAGGATCAATTTAAAGAAAATATCAGTTTTATAATAATCGAGTCACTGTTCTTTTTTAATAAGAAGGTACATACCAATACTGCAGTTATGCTACACTTAATTCAGGAACACTACACAATAGCAATAAATTTCTCACAAGATCCTACCCTTTCCGAGTCCGATAATACCCCCAGTTTGTCATCTATTAGGCAGAAACAACTTGATAGACTTCAAAGTTGTCTAGGCCAATCGAGATTCATTTCTGTAGACAGAGATTGTCTAGGAAGGCTCGGACTTTGCTCGTTTCTTTTATGACTACTAGGAGTGAGGTAGAATAGGTAAAGTAGGGTAGAATCGTAAAAACAATATTATATTGTTAAGATTTCTTCTCCACTACTTGATGAGCTTTCATCAGCTTAAAGGTACTCCTTATGTTAAAATATTAAATATATAAATTACTAAAATAAATTTGACCTCAGTAGGAGTTGAACACCTGACCTTATAAATCAATATATAAGTTATACTACCTAAACTAATATATGATGTCAAAAGTTTAAAAGGCACTTCGATATTTATATTCCGAGTCTGAGTATTCACGGACTACATCTATTTATCATACAACTATGTACTTCTTCAATCGTAATTTGCAACATCGAGTTTTCTTCCAAGGTGTGAACACCTGTGGACCCTGAAAACCATCATACCCTCTTCAGTAATTATGATTTTTCTTCTTAGGAAGCGTGCTGTCCCCAATAGTAATATCCCGATTAGCAGAGTCTTTAGACTTATGGCCTAGTCCTTAAGTCGAACTGAGTTGGCTCCAATTGTCTTCGCCATTGATAAAATGATCAGTTTTATCCACAGCTATATCTGCAAAGGTGGTCTTCATTACAACTATCATAGGTCATCTGACTCCGATCCTTTGTAACTCTATACCCAACTGATAGATTTTCTCTGAATGACCTCCTATTAATTCGCAGGAAGCTATTCCACCAGATTGGTAATTAATTCCTCGGTCAGCAACCCTTGGTTGCTCTTTGGGTAGTAGGTTTCAGTAATCATTATAGTATTGAGGATCACCCCATGATTACGACGTATTCCGAAACCCAGTTGCAACCCTCTATGAGGTTTGTTGGCTTCTTTGGTAGTGTATTTTGGAGTTCTAGACTCTTCTGGTGGATGTAAATGTATTGGTCTCTAGTAGAGATTCTTTACCATTTGATACCATCTCTTTGTGCAAAATCGTCCCATTACTTACGGCCCATGCTAAAGGTATCATGTCTTTGGAGCCAAGTAACTCTCTGAGTAGTTGACAGAATCACTCCGTTCCACTTCCCAGACCTAGCCGAAAGTCCCCTCTCATATATTCTGCAAACAGGATCTGGTCGGACGGATGGCAACGACGTATATGGTATTCTAACACCTTCAATTCTGTGGTAATATAGTCACAGGACGCAACTGAGATTGATATATATGATGACGTGCGGGCCCTATAAGGCAGCCAGAGGGGGGTGTTGGAGACCAGAGATTCCAATTCCGAGTGGGGTTACCCTACTTAGGGTGGTTCCTAGGTATCGGGTTCTGGTATTCCTAACATCATCTCAGAAAATTATTTTCTCCTACTACTAAGCCTTTTAACACTTGATACATGTCCCACTCATTGCACACTGTGTCACGAATGTGGCTTAGCATGGAAAAGGTTTTCACGTGACACATAGTTATGAGTCACAGGTATGTTATTGTTTTGCGCATATAACTCATTCGGGTTATATGATTTGTTATGTGTGGGATTTGTGATGCTTTCGCACATGGCTCAAATATGAGTCATGGGACATGCACCTGACGAGTATGCCTTGCGAGTGTGCCTTGTGGGTAAGCCTTGCGCATATGATTTATGTTTTGCACACAACCTCATTATGAGGTCATGGGTTTCGCGCATATGACTCAGTCGAGTCATATGACTTGTTTATTGTGTTATGATTGGTTTATGAGTTTTGCACATGACCTCGCTATGAGGTCATGGGTTTTGAGCATGTGATCACTTTGGTCACATGACTAGTTTGTTATGATTTGGTTTCGCACATGTGACCACTTTGGGTCACATGATTAAAGGCGGGAAGAACACTATATAAGGAGGCCGATGCGGCCGAGGAAGATAGGTTCTTCATGCTTTGTTCTAAGTACTTTTCCTACATATTACTTTAACGAATATAAAACATCGTTACGATCTTTATCCTTATTGCAACATTATTATTGCGCCAAGAAGCACTCGTTACGAAGACGAGTTAGAGAAAGCTTACGATAGGTGTTTCCGATAGAAGATAAAGGTCTTGTACTATCAGTAACATAGGCAGAGGCCTAGAGCTATCGTAAGACAAAGAAAGAAAGGGAAAGAAAAGATAAGTATCGTTCCCCATCGCCAAGAACTAACTATCTGAAAAGGGATCGTTACACACTGCTAGTACTTTCTGCTCTCTCCTCTCCTTCCCTCAACACAACAACCGCTTTTATTCCTAACAGGATGACACGATATCTACAACCTGTAGATACACATATTAACAAGCCATTAAAGCAATATATTAGTTACTTTCTTAAAAAATATATTGATTAGGGGTGGAGAAGTGCCTTTCCTGTAGCTGGATAGCCGGAGGATAAAGTCCAGAAGCACCGCATTTTAATATCAAAATGCATAGGAGATGCATGGGACAAGTTACATGAACAACACCGAGATCTTATCAAGAAATCCTTTCATGATACTGGAATTTCCCTACAGCCCGACGGCTCTGAGGACCAGTTGATTAGAATTCAAGATTTACCGAATCTAGCAATTGATTTTATGGCAGAGTTTGGACTTAACTACAATCTAGAGATTGGGAAACGGGGGAATCAGGAAACTGGAAAAGGGGTCTTACAGGAGGATAATTGGAGAAAGTTGTTGGAGATTCTAGACAAAAAGGGTATATTGGCTGAAGAGATTCTGGTATAGATTTCCGAGCCCGAACCATCTATTGCACATATAGATATTGAAGTCTAATATTACCTAGGTAGGAACACAGAGGAAACTAGTCAACCTGAAAGCTCAACAACCTCATATTGTTTTGTTTATAACATATCTACATCTTACTTTATCAGTATTATGATTTAGGAAATGATCAGTCCCCTATGCCTTATACTACTAGCCATTGCTAGATGCACCTTATTTCGGGATGCGCCTTATTTCCGGAATTCTATGGTAGTTACTAATAATAATAATAATAATTACAATAATAATCAGGTAACACAAAACCAAACCCCTATCCATCCACCCTGAAGAAAAAAAATTGAAAGAAAAAAAAAGCCAAGGCGGGGATCTCCCCTTTCCTCTTTCAAGGGACAAAAACTCCATTTAAGCCTCATGACGTATCACACCTGCACCACAACCACAACCACGAACAATGACCACCAAAAGAGTTCCTCCCCCCTCCGCTTCGCACATATCTACTAACTTTTTTTTTGCCAAAAGGTCTATTTCCTTGCGCACGGTAAAGTCCAAGGCGTCTTCTACCGCAAGTACGCGATCGAGCGCGCCACGGCCCGTGGGCTCACGGGCTGGGTGCAGAACTTACCGAACGGGAAAGTTGAGGGCGAAGCGCAGGGAAGCGAGAGTGAGGTTGAGGCCTTCTTGAAGGATTTGGATAGGGGGCCGCCCGCGGCTCATGTTGTTCGGTTGGATAGGGCGGAGAGGGAGGTTCTATCGGTGGATTCTGAAGGACAGGGAGGGGGGTTTGAGAAGAGGAGGTATAATGGTGGTGGAATTTGAGTTTATTGTACTGAGATTATAGTATTTAAATTTGAAGGGGGGAGAAGGACGAAATGCGGTATAGAGATAAGAAAATACAGTGGAATGGAGATTAAAAAACGAACGACTTTTGCGCTGGTTTGACAAAGGGAATCTGTACAAAAGAAATGGGTGCAGGATTACGCTACTTGAGAGGTAGTGGTAGTAGTACCGGAACCAGTAGGAGCACCGCCAGACGGCTTCCCACCAGTCTTCCACTCCTTTCCAGGCTTCATGTACTCCTCCACAACCCCACCATCAATATCCCCCTTCTCCCACCCCTCCGGCTTCATGAAATCTAGCCCCTTCGTTGGATGCGGTTTACCATCCTCATAAATCAGGGCATACGGGTTCGGATCCTCGTCCTGACTCAAATTCGCCAGCGTGTGGTTGACCTCGCGATGCTTCGCCTCATCCGCCCTAATAACCTTCAACAGCTCCAACATATTCGCATCCGGCCCCAAGCCGAAATACTTGATGGCGATATCCGGCGCGAGTAGGTTCTCCCACTCCGGGATGCGGCCGTTCTCGATGTCCGCTATGGCTCGGGTGTACGTGATCACGGCTTCCTCCTCGATGTAGCCGACGAAGCGGTGACAGGTGCGCGGGGATACGAGGTAGGAAATGAAAAAGAGATTAAAGAATATGCCCTGTGCGCCGAGGATCATGGTCCGCATGAAGAGTCCCGGCTGGCGGTAGTGCAGGAATGTGAGTAGGTGGAGACGCTCATTGTACGCTTCTTCGAGGAGGGTTTCGATCCAGGCGTTGTCACGCTTGAGACGGCGTAGGGAGTTCAGGTGTCTGATCATGCCTGCTGCCATTCCTGGCACGCCGGCGATGGATTCGAGGAATATGAACCTTGCCAACCATTTCTGTGGCGTCATGTGGAAGGCATTAGTTCCGTAGGGCGTTTTGTTGCCCGAGGCTATCTAATTGGGTTGTTAGTGGGATTTGTTTTCTAGTTATTAGTTCCGGATGAAGAGGGGAGAGGCGTGAGTACCTCTGAGTCATGTTTGTAGCCCGTTGCTAAGTCGAAGCATTTACGCATTACTCGAACGGCAGCAAGAGCGACCCAGTCTCCCCAGGTCTTTGCTTTGCGATGGGCGATTTTCTAGAAATCCGTTAGCCTTCACAATATTATATAGATCTTTTTGCCTAAGAAAAGGGCATAAAACTCACGATATCATTCATCTGCGCCTCCGTGTAAACAGGATGAGGAAATGAGCGTTCCCTAAACGCCTTCAGTGGCCTCTCCTGTTTGGACTTCGGAGTCGTCGCCAGAAAAAAGGAATTCGTAGATCCCGTAAACTTCCTCGTCTGAACACCATGAAGAAGTCCGCAGGAGGCAACACGAATCCCCGAAGCAAGGGGTAGATGTTTAGTAGCTAGGATAGCAGGCGCCGAAGCTCTGATAGTCGTAGCGGATAGCATGTCGTAAAGTGTACAAAAGTGTTTGTTCTCAAAAGACTTGAGTGCACGAGTACAAACAAGGCCTCAGTGGTGGGAGGGATCTCAAGGTTTTATATCACATCAAAGAAGAAAAAAGAAAAAATCCAGGGAAAAGAAGGAAGAAAGAAAAACCCCAAACCAGCCCTCACGGCCGGAGCCAGGGCCTAGGCGAGCCGATTGGTTGGTTGGAGTGGTAAAGTGAGGTAAGAGAAGGGAGGCCCGGAGTGGCCCAAGCTGACCACCAGCACCGTAGTATCATAGACTGCACAAGGGTTCCGCGCTCGAGTGACCAACCCAACCAATAGATCGAAGTGCACTGACATCCTCAAAACTCTTTATGCGTAAATTACCCTACAGCCCCGCGATAGCACGCCGTGTAATTTTCGAGCACAGAATTCAGTTCCCCCCTTGTCACTGGATGGATACTGATCTTACTGACGTCGAGTGTTTAGTCATGCAGCCAAAGCCCTGCAGTAAACGGAACGAGAGCATGTAACACAGGTCCTCCTCTTGCGAGCGCTCGTACCCGGTTCAACTCATTCCATAGAGAGCATTCATCCCAGTTTACTCCCTCCCTCGCCACAATTACTAGGGCTTTTCCCCGGCGGTGTCAAAAAAGAAAAGTTATGATACAAACGCCCACCTTCTAGCGCTGTTCCAGAACTCCAAAATGCAGTTCAGAAAATAATTTCCGTTCCGGGACGTCTTGGCGTTCGCTTCGATAATAATTCGGCGCCAAGGGTCGGGTGCTCCCGGCGCCGGACTGGTTGCAACGCCCCGACTTGGCTTGTTTCTTGTTCGAAATTTGGGAGGAATCGGAGAAAAGGAACGTCATAAGTGTGAAAGTGTGAGTCAGACTTCTGGGTTTTTGGGGACAATGGGTTTGTTTGCCCATGCTTTTCCTTCCGAGGGAGGAATTGGGAATTTGCGGTGATGTCTTCTCGTAGAGAGGACGATAGGTTCGCTCGCGAGATGACTAATCATGAATTGAAGTTAACTAGCAACTCAACACCGAGTGAGAATCATCGGAACAGCGGGGTCTGGGCTCGGGTTTATCAATCGGCGCGGGGATGATCTTTATCAACCTCCGGTGCAATACATACTTCGGTACTAAGGGGCTGCTCAGCAACGCTGGTAAAGCAGACCATTTGTTCCCTAAGTTGGGTTCAATAGGATATCGGTGGATACCGGTAACCTATAGCCTCCCAGACCACTGATAGATACTGATCGGTAGTCTTGATGAGAGAACCGGAGGCGCAGAGTGCAGCTGCATTCGTAAAGTTCTCATACTCTTCCAAGTACCCCTCGCCCTTGGGAATGCTCTGCTAACATCTCTTTCTCATTATTCAGAAAAACAAATTGTGATAAAAGTTTACAGTGCCCCGAGAGGCATATCTGGAAAAAATTATCCAAAAGGTTCTTCCTGTTCTCTCGCTGTTAGTAGGTACAATTCTTGAGATACAAGGAAGGGTATGAGAACTTTACGGGCGCAGTTGTACAGTACGGAGGAAGATTCATCTTATAAGATGCTAAGAGGTGCATTAGTGTCGACCAAGCTAATTTAGGTGAAGAGGGCGGTATGACTGAAGATATTATCAAACCTTCTCTCCGGGCCGCCAAAACAGTCCGCACACTTATGGTCGTATTCTATGCAGTATAGTTGCCACAGCTCATCCGGAGGAGCCGCTGGAAAGTTTCCTCCTTAGATTTTGCTATCCGGGCGCAGCCCTGGAGGCCGCCCACCGGCATCTCATCCTATAGAAATCCCAGCGTGTAAATTTATATGGCAGATGTTCCTGAGGGGTTTGGAAGCCTTTGGTGCCCTTTCTGAGCTTCGGCTAGATATGTGGACTAGCTGCTGTACTGTACTTGTACTCGAGTGTCGGTATCGTGTATCGGTATCCGGGGGTATCTCCCTCCACCATAACAATAAATTCCGAAACACCGCTCATTCTCTTATCCTGTCTCCGGTGACCTGGTATCCCTTCGTTCGTATACCTAATTTCACGGAGTTTTAGCTTGAGGTCTAGAGGAATACGGTACTTGGGTTGGGGGGGTACTGTACGACTAAGGTCCTCCAATGGTGACCCGGTTATGAACGTCTCCGACCCCGAGAATCCAAGGCGATTTTACCTGAATAGGTGGTGTTATTACCCTTTTAGGTAGAAGCCGGTCTCGGCCATAGTTCCTCCGATATAAATATAGGGGTGGATGGGTACGATATGACTCCGCTCCCTGTATACTCGAGTATGGTACGATACCGTAGGGGGGGGGGATGTTCGATATGAGGCGAGCCCTGCCCCCAGGATATCTCGAGTGAAAAGGTATGGTACTACAGAATCTTTACTACACCATGGATCTCTCGGTCGCATCGATGAGCGAGTAAACGATATAGAAACACCTTGTTTTTACCGCCCAGGCTGGGAAAAGCTCGCTCTATAATTGGGAAGGGCGTTCATGGTAGTTCTTACCGAAGGGGGGTAATTCGTCATTTCATCATTGCTATCATGGTCGATATTATTTCCCTTTGCCCGCTCAAGGGACCCGTATCTCGCTCGCCCTGTCCCTGGATGGTGTGAAAAACGTGCCCTTGCTATATCATACAGCGCAACCACACTTGGCGTTCATACGATCTCACTCGGAAACAAATAATCGGGACGGCCCAACCGAAAATGTTCAGCAATTCTGGGCACCGAAATAATCCTCAATGATGGATATGTAGGAATCGGGTCTGGAGTTGAGGACCCTAAATGACAATTTCTACCGTACTTTTATGTTCTCATTAGGGTGCTATTTTGAGGCGTCACTCCTCAAGTATAATCTTAACAAGAGTAGTTTACAGGATATTTGAGAATTGGATACCGTATTACGTATTGAAAGAACCGGTTTGGGAAGCACGACATTAGAGGGTTTGTGCAGCCAGGCATGGGCGGGGGTTATCAATAGTTGTTTCCAGAGGTTGTGCCTTTCATCGAGGGCCGTGAAATCTCCGATAAATGGCTTTGTTTCTTAAACTAGGTTCCTTCAAGAGGTCACACAGTGGCAGATTATCAAACAAGCTACCTTGTAAACCGCTCTTGATAAAATTATACCCAATGAGCACGGCTGTGGAATCATACCTGATGAACGGGTACTGTATCATGGAAGTTGGAATTTAGGGACCCCCCAATTCCAGGTCCAATTCCACGGTTTACACTTCTACCAGGTATCATACGATCAAGGGACCAAGGTGGCCAAAACATTGTCATTAACTTGCGTTAAGACCACCTAGGTCTATCTGCGCAAACTCTCTATCGTGGAATCTATACGATTGGTATCTCAGTCCCATCAACGAGCCAGCAGTTGATGCGGAGCGCCTTATTTCTCCCGCCCGGGTTCGAAAAGACTTGTTCCACTTCCCAATTCACAAAGCTCCACCCACCGTAGATTCCATGAACCTCTATGAGCGGTTAGGGCCAAATTTAGATTTGTATCGGATCATGCATCTATACCAATTTTTTTTTCTTTTATTTTTTTTTCTGAATTTATTGTTACAGCCGTGTCCCGATAATGTGCGTTTGTCCTATACATATACAGTATTATGATGGGCTTGGTTGACACAGAGGGCTTATGAGGTTAAGCGTGGCCTCGAACTTTGCGACTCGGGAAGTATAAGTTAATTGGGAAAGGCGCTCATGGTATTTCTTACCGAGGGAATAATTCACCATTTCGTTATCATGGTCGATATTTTTTTTTTCCCTCTGCAAAGCCCAGCCAAGGGACCCTTATCTCGCTTGCCCTGTCACCTTGATGGTATGACAAACGTGGTATTGCTCCAACAACCACGCTTGGCATTTTCACGATAGTGCTAAGGCGAGTGATAGTATGTGATGCTCCGTTAAGGTTGAAGATTAACCGTTCTGACCTGGAACTGAGGGCCCTGAATGTCAACTCCCACAACTCTTTTATGCTTCTATCGGGGTACAGTTTTGTGGCTGTGCGCCTGAGGTTTTTTATTTTACCAAGAGCGGTTTCAAGACACTCGGGGATTTGTTACCGTATAGCCTCTTGAGGCGACCTGGTTAAGAAGCGCGATATTAGGGGCCTGAAACCCTGGATGGGATTTGGATAAGTTTGGGATGGACTTTTTCTATCACATCATACTAGCGTGGATTGGGTTAAAACCCCATCCCAATCCGAACAGAACCAATCTGCCGTAGACTTTAGCTGGCATGGATGAGATTGACAATCCGAGTCAAAGCTTGTTAGCTCACTCATCGTACTCGTCCCAGGCAAGAAGTGTCCGAATACGAGAGTCGTGTGTTTGTATGGGTACTCGGATACGCACGAACTTTTTTGAGATATTTTGCGAATCCCCTGTTTCGGATACTTCTTGCTCTGGACGAGTATCGTACTCGAGTATGTGCTCGGGTATGGAGGTTAGTGATGGGACAAACAAGGTACGGGTGGCCGAAGACATTTTCGCATGGGGCGGGAATATGTCGATATGTCCTCGGCCACCTGTACTCCTACCCATCTAATCACTAACCCCCATACCCGATAACTACTCTTGCGGCCAAGTTGGAGTTGCTCACCTGAGGCTGGTTATGATGGTCAAGCCAAATAGAGATAAGTATGGGGTAATTGATAAAGCACTAGACTCAGTACTATGCCATGGTTAACGATCAAACTCAAACCTGTGGGTCAAATAATCTGAGGAAGGAAAACATTGTGAAATCGGGCATGGCTTTTGAGTAATAGTGCTGAATCGAGCACTTCATCAACCACGTCACACTTATCCCTATTTGCCCGACAATCATTACTAGCCTTGGGTGCGCAACTTCAACTCGGCCGCGTGAGTAAGATTTTGACCTTTGAGCCGTTTTCAGTTACTCAAGCCTTCTTGACGGATGGTCCATGTCATTGGTTGCTCTATTGAACGAAAATGAACCCATACCGAACCCATCCAAATCCCGTTTAAGGCTTGATGACCCCGATTTGTCGGGGGTTTCATGGCCCGTCGATGCGAGGGACAAACTCTAGCAACACTATTGATAACCCTCTAGTTGTTCTGTTTCTCGCTGACCGGACATGCCACCTTGCCCCGAAATGGAGTTTTCCCTCAAAACTCTTAACACGGGTCATTATGAAGGTTTTGCGTTGCAACCAGACGCACCCTAAAATTGGATACGATCTTGTATTCTAAAGAGTTAGTGCAGATACGTGTCCTCCTCCATAAAAGCACGATAAATACCACTCCGTGGCTACCTCTTTGCCAATTCCCTCACCGTGCTGCTCTTCCCCCTTCTCCCCGAACTTTGCTGTCTCTGCTGAACTTTCTCGTTAGACAGGTGACGCAACACAATGCGACAAATTAGTACCTATACTATACTGTGCCTGGGCACTGTCTTTCACATCGGGTTTGCCAACGGCGCTCCACTGAGCCCGCAGTCCATAGAGACTGATTGTCTTGCTCTGAACATCGGATGTGATGGGAACAATCTTATTCCCAAAATCTGCAAGTCGCGTGAGTTCCAGCCAACATTGGAGAACTATTGGATATCGGGAACCGATAACTTCTTGCGAGACTATTCGAAGGACAATCAACTCACCTCTAGTTATCAGAGGGACGGCCTCTTCAAATCCCTAGCGAAGAAGTATCTTGGGGATGGTGCCAACCTGGACTGCTCGTTTCGTGGTGGAAATTTCTCGGCTAGAAAATGCAGGATTGCCTGTAGTGATGTTTTGAAAAATGTTAAGGATATCGAATTGGGAAGGAAGGTTTACTTCGCCCTGGCCGCTTCCGTTGGATTTTCGGAGGTTATGGGAGCCATGCATGTAAGTGGGCAATATTAACACACGCTGCCGGCCCTAACGTAACGCAATAGGACTCTTTCTCTCAAATCCCTGAGAGACTTACCTCTATGATTAGTCAAATTCCAGAGGCGGAATCTGGCCTCGCAGCATTAAGTGCTCAAGATCTTGTTCGCTCGGAGGCACAACTCTTCTTGGAAGTTCTCCGTCATGCCGTTGTCGCTGCTGCGCCATGGAATCCTGTTGAGAAGGTTTCGGAGAGAGCTGATGCCGGCCAGGCCCGGGCAATCAGAGATTATGAAAGTGCCATTCAAGTTTATGGGATGGTCGAGGGCGGGGATAACCCGTTCAAATGGGATAAACTGTTTGACCCTAGCTATGAAATAAGTATCTCCGATCTCGATTTACCACGCTCTGATGCTGCGGGCCGAGTTTTGGAGGATTCATCCACATCGACCGAAGGGTGGCATGGAAAGACCGTCGAGAGAGCGAAACATCTCGTGCTGGATTTTGGTGCACTCATCCGGTCAATTAATGCAGGCGAGCTCGATGTATCCAGGGAATCAGGATACTCGGTTCTCGAGGATCTTCTCAGCGGTATTGGGGATGCTATGATTTCGGGGGTGGACATATCAGCCAAAGTTCCTCGGCAAGTCGCAGAACGAGCCAAAACGGGCATTGCGAAGGCTGTCGAAGAAATCCTCAGGGGAAGAAGTGTTGGCTCCGATGGTAAGCAATTGAACCAATCCTCCTATTCTTATTTTCTAGTCACAGGGCAAATTTCTCGCCAATTCATAAAGTATCCGGAAATAGAGGTGCCAAGATTCTCGAATCTGGGCGTACTTGTCCCAGGCAAGAAGTATTCGAAAATATGAGTCGTGATTTTGTCTCTGGGCTCATGCAGGCGCGGACTTTTTGCCAAGTGCTAGGGCATGGACGTCAGTGACGAGACGGACGGGAGGGTGGGCGGGTGGCCTGGGGGAATATGTAAAGCAGCGTGATCTCTACTCACAAGATGCCCCCGCAAGACAATCCTGAGTGAGCGCTGCTTTACAGATTCTCACCCCATGCACAGATACGTCCTTGGACAACTGTGGCCTGTCCATCTCATCACTGACGTCTATACCCTGGTATTTTGCGAACCCCTATTTTCGAATACTTCTCGCTTGGGACAGGCAAAGTACCAATTTTTGGCATTTTTATGTCCGAATACTTTGTGAACCGGCGAGTAATTCTAACGCACAAATAATTTAGGAGCAACAAAACTTTCAAAGCTCATATCCTACGGAAACTACCTCCCCTTGAGCCACAAGCAAAATGTCTCTAAGCTGAGAAGCGCAGATCCAGTAGAGTAAGAATTCAGATCAGTTTTGGCCCCCCCTCCGACAATGCTGACCCCATCGCCTTGCAGGAGAATTGCCAAGAACATCTTCATGAGAATGCTCGACTTGAGCTTTGATGGAAATAAACTCTATATCTCTTGTACCAAGGATACCCAAAAGCGTAGCGACCCTCGAAAAGACACTCCCGGGCCAAGAAGCCTGTGTGACCGGGATAACACCGGGCCCCAGAATCTCAAGGCATGCGTTGAGGATTATGTTTGTTACATGTATAGATGGAGTGAGCGCAGTTTTGACCACATGTCCCGCAGCAAGGAGCCCAAGGGTATGGACAAATTGGATGAACCTCCGTTCAATATTACTGCCAAGGTCAGTTCCTCCATGTTCCCTCTCCGCTTGTCTATTAACAAAGCTCTCGCGCACAGGACATAATTACCTCTTCAGTCCTATCCCAGCTTCAAGGGCTTAAGCGTGGGGAAAGTGGAAACACATTGAGCAATATCCTCAAAACCACACCGGATGGCCTCAGCTCGCTCGCTGAGCCCTCCTTCCCAGGCATCTTCCATCTTCCGATCTGCTTCTCCCGCCATAACTGGAACACCCAGGTCACCGGTTGGAACACCCTCTGCGATACCAATCAGAACTGCCCAGCAAAGAATTTCCCATGCTTCTGCGGCTCCTGGGGACAGGACACCGAGTCTGTCTGGAAGGGAATGGGCGTGGGTCAAGATAAGAAGAGGAGCCACTACGTCGAGCAGTTGTGCCCACGTCAGATCTCTCGCAAGATCACTGACCCGTTGGAGAGATACATGGCTTACTGCGCTCTTGGCGTTCGATTTAACAGCTGCACTACTAGAGTCGGCGGTATCTTGGGTTTTCGTGGAAAGGATAAGTACTGTGTCCTTTTCAAGAGCGTCATGGAGCTTAAGGGATACGAATCTATCGAGGATATGGACCCCGAGATTAAGTTTGCCCTCACTTGCAAGGTTAAGAAGGGCGGGAAGGGCTGCTCTATGTACAACGAAATGTTCGAGAGCCTGTGGAAGTCGGCCGTTGACGTCGGGTACCTGGACCGTGAGAGTGTGCCAAAGAACCTCATCAGCCCCGCGGAATAAATAACCTTGTTGTTGTGAGTTGGCCACTGCGCGAGTCTAGTGTACTAGTGATTTGGATCAAAAAAAGTGTATTTAAATGGGGTGGGTGAAAAAGGTTTCACCGCCGTTTTGCTTGGAATGGCGAGTTCAGTGTTAGGTAAAGTTTTGAAGTTCAGAGATTTCTGTTTAGTTGGATGTCTCTTGTTTTTACTGGTGCTTTTACGAATTGGACGTTTAGAGGACAATAATAGACGGTACATGCAAAATGGAATTAACTGGTTTCTCTGACTATCTCGTTCCGCGAACCTTAGAATCCCAACCCGTAAATATCTTCTCGTTGCCCCATCACCCCAAACCCCTGTCCCTAGATCCCAAAAGTCACAAAATCCCACACACTCTCTCCTCGGTTCTGCCGTTCGGCGGTGGAGCACGACCAGCACCACTTGGGCCGCCTCCGGAAAGCCAACGGCAGACCTGTCCCCGCCCCCCGCATTACAGGCAATTGCTGCTTCCAGTCGGATGCGGGAACGCGCGGAAATGCAAGATCCCATGAACGGACAATCAAACGGGCCGAACCCGGTAACTGTACCGTATGTATGTATGTATGTAAGTATGTATGTATGTATGTATGTATGTATGTATGTATGTATGTATGTATGTATGTATGTATGTATGTATGTATGTATGTATGTATGTATGTATGTATGTACTCGGGTGTAAGGGTATTTGCGCGGTATGATACCGTAACACAAGTCCTGATCCAGCGTGTTGCTCGAGCGAGCAAGTCCTACCTCTCCTTTTTGGCTTTCACCAAAATTCTTGCCAGTTATCACTCGAGATCTCCAATCTGGTTTATGATAGTCCATGATACATACAAATGCCACATATCTATGATATTTGGAACACCCGACTTTTATCGATCCCCCTAGAACGGTACGGGGGGGTTGACAAAAGTCGGGTGCACTCCCAAAAAGAAGAGACATAGCCCTTGCAAGTTGTATCATAGGCAGACCCAACCGGATTGAGATGTTCGAGTGATGAGTGGTGAGGATGATTTGGTGACGTTCATTACTGGTATGATAATATCATATTATTATGTTTATTCATGCAACGTGACGGCACAAAAAAAGAGACACCACCCATTTGTGCATGTGGTCACTTGTCGGGGGCAGTAGCGGTACCGGTATGTATCATACCATACCGCCTGCGCGCACTCGGTAACCCTAAGATCGGGAAGCTGGTTAGGTACAAAAGAAACACAAACAAACAAGGGACTACGGCGGTCTGGATGCCGCCTGGCGGCCAACCCGCGGCCGCAGTAGATAGGCTAACCAAATGGTGACGGCAAAAAGGTCGAATCGGGAGCAACCGGCAACTCAACTTCTTCCGACTGCTAATCGAGGTATCATACGGAATACGATACTGAAACTAGTCTATTCGCACCCGCACTTTAGCATCCACCTAACTGACTGAAGGGTTTGTCATTGCTAGGGATGATGGGGAATCATTGGTCATAATGGAACCTGCCGACCAACATCGGGGCGCGTAGCGTGGTTACCCGGCCCAAAACACGAGTTTGAGGGCTGCCAGGCCTCGCAGTGGACATATCATACATACTTGTACTATGATAGTACATTCAAGCACAGTGCCGAGCCCGTGTGTCTTACTTATCCTATGGTAAGCTCTATCGTTTTTCCGGTGTTCTCGGCGGAGGGTATGATATTTGTAAATTATAAAAGCGAATCCCTCTTTCTCCGGAACAGGTGCTGCGGTGCTGCACAGATAGTACCATAGGGCGAAACGGGTTTTTCCTCACAAGTACTTGTACTCGAGTACAATGTACCCCTTTACTAGATGGTCACTCACAAAACATTTGCGAGAACAAGTACAACGCACACACACTCACCCTCACACACTCAGATCATCTCTGACACCCCTGACCCTATTGCGCAATGCCACTAAAGTCGCGTCATCCCATGTTACACACATTAAAGTCGCGTCTCCCCAACGAGCCTCCCCCCCACCATACATGTCTTTCCTCACTTTCTCTAACCACCATCACCCTTCAACATCGACAACTCGACAGCTCCACTTTTATTTTGTCATTCATACCCCTGCCGCATTATATGCGTTTTTAATGAATAATGTTTCGCTCTGACGAGAAGGCTAAGCGGCTTGCCAAGGAGTTGGAATCTCGTGAGTTTTTCTTTTCTTTTCTTTGTTCGTAGAAGGAGGCGTTCACTGATCTGTGTAGACAGCTTTGAAGAGAATGGTAACGAATATGAGGCGTCAGAATTTGGTAATTATCGGGGGTATTTTTTTTTCTTCCGCGTTTTATATTCTCACTTTATAACAGTAGTCATTTGCAGGTACGCAAAAAATAAGCGGGCAAAACTACAGAACTCAGATGCGCATCTTCGCTCAATAGTTAAGGACGCTCCGCCGATTTTTCGTGGCCTTGTGATGTCGGTTAACGGATATACAAACCCATCTTTGATAGACCTTCACCGGATTATTGTCCAGTACGGTGGGGTATTTCTACAGTACATGGATAAGAAGAGTAACATCACGCATATGATTGCGTCGAACCTTACGCTGAAAAAGAAGGTAGAGTTCTCACAATATAAAGTTGTCCGACCGGAGTGGATTGTGGATAGTGTCGCTGCTGGGGTGTTATTACCCTGGAGAGATTACCGGCTGTTGGATGATGTTAAGAATCAGACAAAATTGGGTTATCAGAGTCCTGGAAGTCCAGCTATTACGAAAAGGAATAGTTTAAGAGAACCCAGCTCTTACAAGCAGAGCTCTGCACTATCGCTCGAAAAACCAAAATCTAGGTTCGAGAGGGATGTTGTTATTCCTCCGTCCGACGAGCAAGAGTGGGATGATGATTTTTTTCCTTCATACCAACGTCCGCCTTCGAGCGGAAAGGAAGCATCTGATGCGAAGGTAGAGCGTAGGGTGTATGACAATGGGGTGGACCCGCCACCTTCGCATCAACCGAGTCCACCTGAAGGGGATGAAGGAGAATATATAGTGTCTCCTGTGGGATTGGTCAATTTTCCTTCTTCAAATCTTGAAAACTTTGTTGGTGGAGCTGATAACCTTAAATCGCCTAAACCAAAGTTAGGTAGACCGCCTTCACCTGCTGGGATTGTTAAGGGCAAACTAGCATACGAACCGGAGTGCATCATTGGCCGAAAGCGACATCCAAGTGGTGCCAAGCCTAAGAATCGGCGTGGGCAAATAAAATATCTAGTAAAATGGCGAGGATACTCTAATGAGGAGTCCACGTGGGAATTCGAAAGGGACTTAAAAGAAGATTTGGGGAAGAAAGAATTGGAAGAAATGGTGAATGACTTCAAAATTCTAGGAGCAAAGAAAACACCGGAACTTTTGAAACCAGAGTCTATAAGTTTTACTTCTGACTCTACAGATAATTCAGCTCTGTCTCAAAAGGAGAATCTCGGAAGCCATCATCCTCACCTTGGTCCTCAAGTAAAGGTTAGTGTTGAGATTCCGGACCAATCCCACTCAACATTGATGTCACCGAGAAGAAGCTGGAAGTTTGATCGTGTTGGTGGTGGTGATGGTGGTGATGGTGATGATGACACACAAAAGGATCCTTCGTTCATCAAAGAGACATTTATAGCGCCTCCATCACAAACCAGCTCTTTGCCGATGCCAAGCTCACCGCCCTTGGGTGGGCAGCGAATGATCGAGGAAGACTTGTCTAGCTTTGAAGATAATAATATTCCAATTGAACTAGACACCAAACAGTCAATGGGCTCTCCAGAGGAGGGTACTCCACGAGAATCAAACATTTCTGAGAACAGGTTACCATCGCCGCCCGTGAAGAAAGAACCATCCCCAATCACCAGGCCATCAAAGCGAACGCTAGACCGTGAAGAGGGCGAATCCCCGCTTGCGAAGAAAATACCCAATGAGAGGGTTATGACGGCCGAGGAATTCAACGCTACGCTGCTGGCAGATCCAAATGTCAGAGCGTCATCAGCCCTTGACCCTGGTTTTCTCGAAAAGTATTTCGACAACAGTCGGCTCCACCACCTCAGCAACTGTAAGGTTTTGTTCCCCGCATTGTTGTCAGGAAATGTTTGTTCATAGAATTGTAGGGAAAGCAGAACTCAGGGCAGAGATGCAAGCTCTCGCCGCCGCTAAATCTTCACAACATAAGTCGGTGGTCAAGGCTCGGCAGCGGCGGTATGTCCTACACGTTGACTTTGACTGTTTCTTTGCCGCTGTATCCACGCGTGATCGTCCCGACCTTAAGGGTGTACCTGTCGCTATCACCCATGCAAATTCTATAAATAGTACCAGTTCGGAAATTGCAAGTTGTAACTACGCCGCTCGTGCTTTCGGACTGAAGAATGGAATGTGGATGAAACAAGCAAAAGAACTATGCCCAAAACTGGTCTGTTTAAGTTACGACTTTGAAAAGTACGAGGAGGCGAGCAAGGCCTTTTACGGCGTTATTCTCTCGATAAACGGAGAGCGTGTTCAAGCACTCAGTGTCGACGAGGTTCTCCTCGATGTCAGTAATCTTGTCTGCGACATTGGCTTACATGGGGCAAAAGAGGAGGAGACAAAAGCGCTTGAGATCGCACAGACCATCCGGAACAGATGTCGGGAGGAAACCGGCGGATGCGAAGTATCCATTGGAATAGGCAAAAACATGCTCCTGGCGAAACTGGCGATGCGTAAGGCGAAGCCTGCGGGAATGTATATTGTCAGGGAGGAAGAGATCGACCAGTTTCTGGACGATACACGAGTTCGGGACTTGCCCGGTTTTGGTCACAACATTACTAAGAAGGTCGAGGAGCATTTCAAGGCTGATACAGTCCGTCTGGTTAAGGGAATAAGCAGGGAGAGGTTGAAAGTAGAGCTGGGTGAGAAGACGGGTGAGAAGTTGTGGAGGTATTGTCGGGGGATCGACGATACGCTTGTTGGTCAAGATGCTTCTGAGAGGAAAACTATCTCTGTTGACGTCAACTATGGCATTCGCTTTGTTACTCAGGACCAGGCAGATAAGTTCGTAATGGATGTTGCGGGATTGCTTCAGCGCAGGATGGAGAAGGAAAGAGTGAAGGCGAAAAAGCTATATCTGCAGGTCAAGAAGCGGGCCGCCGGTGCGCCAATGATGACTTCGAAGCACCTCGGACATGGGTCTTGCGATACAGTTAACAAAAGTGTTTCTCTAGGAGCCGCTACCTCGGAAAAGGAAATTATGGGGAAGGAGACAGTCGCGATGTTGAGGTCTTTTCGAATATCCCCCGGGGAACTCAGAGGTATTGGACTCAGTGCTGCAAATCTTGAAACTGCCAAGGCACACAGTAGTCAGACAAAACTCGATTTCTCAAAGAGAGCTGGTGAAGAGAGGAACGACAATCATGTTTTCCTTCCCCCGCCCCTTCCCCTACCTCCCCCACCTCCACCTCCTCCAGTGCAGAAACCCCGACTTGTACCCTATGTCAAGCCCAAACCCACCACACTTCTTGACTCCTTCGCGAAGATGGGACCAAGGAAGGAGCAGGTGCAGAAGCCGAAACCACCACAACCCCCAGCCCAAAGGCCCCAGCCACCGTCACCTCCACATAGTCCACCCATGTCACAGTTTCTCATACCCTCTCAGGTGGACCCTGACGTATTAGAGGAAATAAGACAGAGCATACGGGAGGAAGCTGCGCGCCAAAAGCGGGCTGGGGAAGAAGAGGCGGAGGCGCAGTTGCTTCGACAGCACGAAGGGCCAGGAGAAGAAACGGGCAAAGTGGACGACCTAGAGTTGGATCTTCTCCCGAACTCCCAAGTCGATGCCGAGGTATGGAAGGAAATGTCGAAGGAGGATAAAGCCCTTTATCTTGCTATGCAAGAGGAAGACCGCCAGCAGCAGCAGCAGCAACAACGCCCTCCCCCCCCTCCTCCTCCAGCAGCAGCACAACTCCTTCGTTCGGCGCCCCCACAAAGCCCACGCAAAAGCCGCCACCTCCCCTGGTCCAAAAAAGGCCCACCAACACCAACCAAACGCCGAAAAACAATGTCCGCACAACAACAGCAAAAAAGCCTTTTCCCCCCCGCTGCCAACCCGCCTTCTGCTGCCGCCCCTGTTCCCGCCGCGAAGAAAATCCTCGACGCAAATGGCATCGATGTTTCCTCTTGGCTCTTCACAACTGGCCAGGTCAACAAACCCCTCTTCGAAACGCTCGACGCGGAGACCCAGCAAGACGTAATCTCCGAAGCTCGAAAGCACCATACAGCACACCTAGCCCTGCAAGAGAAGTCCATGCGTGAAGCCGCCGCGCTGCAGCAGCGTCTCGCAAATGCAACCGTTCTTCCCCCGCTGGATCGCCAGCGCTACCTTGGCCCTGAGCGCATTCCCGTGGGGAATATCACTGAGATCAGGAGTATGATGGAGGGGTGGTTCGCGGCGGCAAAAGGTGGGCAGCCGGACAGGAAGGATGTAGATCTTGTTCGGGGCTTCCTAAAGAGGCTCGTTGTCGTCGAGCTGAATATGGAGAAGGCTAGTACTGCTTGTAGGATTTTTAGGAGGATTGTCGAGGAGGGGTTTCGGGAGGAGGAGGACGGGGTTGGGGAGGAGGTGGTGGATGAGGGATGGAGAGGCGTGGTCGGGGAGTTGATTGATGCCGTTCAGGAGGGGGTGAGGGAGAGGGGGTATGGGCCGTTGGATATTTAGTTGTTTTTTCTTCTTTTTCTTCTTGTCTTTTCCACCATTTCTCTGTAGATGTCTTGACTTATCCCACGTAGATGTCTCAAGTACAACGAAAGCACAATATCCGACCTCCCATCAAATAAAATATATTTCCTCACCGCCACAATCCAGACCGTGCACCGCCAAAGCACCCCAATCAATACCACCTATAAGACAGATTATTTACGATTGTACGATAAAACTGGCGTGAACAGGACTTGAATGCCGTATGGAGCCTCATAATTATTACGAAAAGGTATACTAATAATATTCCGGGAATGGGATACCTCCCACCAACACATGGCTTCGAGGGTTCAGCAAAAATCCCACGCGTTTGTATGCAGGCTTTTGGTAATACTCTTTGTGAGAGTTTGGTGGACTCTCAAGGGCGTTTGGGTTGGGCAAATTTCTGGGTGGGGCGGGGTGTCGAACGAGACGTTTTATTTGATCTGGTTCTTATACCTTTTACCCTTCCGTTGATTATTGCACTACGGAAATGTCTGCATTGGTATGGTATAATACGAAGGGGAACCGGTGACTTTTTTTCTTCACACGGATTTCCTTCCTTCCTTCCTTCCGTTTCTATTCCTTTTTCACTCATTACCTCACCCTCAACATAATCACTTTGGCTCTTGTTATCGGCTTTATGACACTGCACTTTACTCTAAACTGTGCACACCATACTCATTAAACACAATTGCCTTCGCTTTCTCGGGCCCTTCCGCTTCTGCGTGCGAAACCTTTGGTCCGATCATACTTCCTCCGTTCTCAACGATACATCCCACAGATTCTCGAGTGATAACACATGATACCATTCCAACAGTTATGAAACCTATTCCTCCTCAACCTGCACCTCGGCCATTTTCCCAGCGAGACACTTTCCCAGCAATCCCTCTACCCTCTTGTTCCCCGCAATAACGTCTGCACACTCCCCATTCCTAAGATTCACAATCATCACCCCGACATTCTCCAAATCCCTCCCGTCAAGTTTATCCACAACCTCCCATTCCTTGTCCCCCCACTCCTGCCAAAGCTCCCCCGCTTCGGAGCCCTTTGCCAATAGAGCCAACCCCAGCAGCCCTTCGCTGCGAACAACAACCCACTTGTCCTGCAGAACCATGTCCCACAGAGGACGTGCCAGACCGAGATGGTAGGCGGTAGGTGGATCTTCAGGCAATGAGGAGAGGCAGCGGAGGATGCTGACAATCATGCGGGCGATTTCGGTTTTTGTGGGAAGTTCTTCTGCCTGCGTGTATGTTTGTAGTAATTTCTCCAGACAGGTTATTTCTCCAGGCTCGAGGGGGGAGGTGATTTTCTTGCAATTCTCTACGCAATCAACACACAATAGTCGCGCCAGTCCGACAGCGGAATACCAAACCTGACCGACGCCCACGCCTTCCATCCCTACTGCTGCTAGGATGGCATCGAGCGCGCCAGCATCGACGAGAATGGCCTTCTCGCTCTTTGGTACGGAAAAGTTCCTGAGGACGCCTATTGCGCTGTGCAGGAGGGAGAGGTATATCCCACCTTTCCCAGCGCCGGCGCTATCCAGTTTTACTTCTGCTGGGAGGGATTCGAGATCTTTCTTGCTCTGTTCATACCCCTCCACTGCACGGTGAATCACTGAAAATAGTGTCTTGTGGAGCGCGTAAGTATGTATCAGCTCCCGACATACTTCTGTGGACTGCGTTACGTTTCCGAAGACTAGGCATGCGGCAATTACTTTGTCGTAGCGGTGTGGTTCGTTGCTCGCGGAGAGCCAGGTGAGGATTTTGGCAATGGGTGCGGACGAGAGTGGGTATGTGGCCAGGAACGTGGGTTTCCAGGAAATGTCAGCTATATTGTCCATCAGTGGGGACTTGGCAGAGAAGAGGCGTTTGCGGTCAGTTATGTCGAGGGCTGGGTCGAAGAGGAGAGAGTGGGTCATTTCGAAGACTTGGAGGAAGAGGGGGAATTGATTTTGCTCTAGGATGGCGAGTTGCAGGGGTGAGTGGGTGAGTAGAGTGGTTAGGATTGTGAGGAGGAGGATGCGGTCATCTATGGGGGTGACTTCAGTGGAAAGTTTTGAGAGGAGGGGTCTGATGCATGTCGGGGGGGTGACTTGTTTCGCGGTGTCTATTGATTGTGTTAATGATTAAGAATGGCGGGACGGACGGATGGAGGGACCATGCGGTACTAAGAGCTCTAAGACTCGGAGGGAAACTTGAATATCTACTGAACCATCACCTCTGGTGCCGACTAGTTCCATGAGCACCTCTACTCCGCCCGCTTCAATAACCTTCAGCTGTGCAACCTCTCCTCAAGGGTTAGAGCCTGTCTCAGTCTTTCTATCAGTCAAAGGGGTAAGTTACCATTATCAAGAGTAAGATTTTGCAATGTCGCTGTGGCAAACATAGACAAGTCCTCGCTGCTAACAAGAGAAAGGACAGTCTTGAGAGCAGTTGGGTGGTCTATCAACCTCTGCCGGTTTCCGTCTGTTCACCGCCATTGTCTCTCAGCACCCTCACACATACACGGCAGCGCCAGAAGCACCCAAGTCCATACCATTATCAGCAATCGAATTTGCAATAACCCGAAATATCTGTCGGCCGAGCAGAAATTCAACCTCTTTGTCCAGCTGATCCAGGAAGAATCCCAAAATCCCGCTGTCGCCCAATATCTGCCTCCACTCGGCTACCACACCATGACGGTTAGCCCCCCCACCCATATAAAACGTCTTCCTTGGTAATTTTGAGAAAGCCGGCAGGGTGAGCTTACCCTGCCGACAAGCATCACCACACTTCTCAGCCCCTTTCACAAACCCATTCCCCCCTTCAGCTTTCAACCTCTCCAATATCGAGACGATGACAGCAACGTCGTTTCTCGTGTCCTCCAATAAGGTATTTATTGTATCGACTGTGCTCATCTTGCCGGATTCCACTCTACCGCTCGTGGATTTCTTATTCCGAGGCGAGGTTGAGGTTTTGTTAGACTATTACTTGCTGGTGCACAAGTTTTGTCTGGGCTGTAACTTAGCGGGGAATCATCATCTAGATTTGCGCGCACGGACCGCTTATGGGGTGTGAGGCTCGGCGGGAATGGCGGGACTTGCCGGTTCCCCACATTTGACGATTAGAGAAGACTATCACAGCCTGTATCAACTGGGGGTGATCAATGGCACAGGCTCGCATTGGAGTAGCAGTTCCACATTTTTCTTTCATCCGCCAGTGATACCGGCTCCGCACGAGACGAATAATCGACCAGGGCGTGTTGGCTGGGAACCGAGCCGAATAAGGAGCAACCAAATGAAAGTAAGTTTGAGGGCATGAGCTGTGTGGGGAAGGGAGGCATTTGCTTCCCCGCATTAGCTGTGCAGTGCGCTATGAGGTCTTTAATGATCGTTAGGCGATCCGTGGAGGCAGTCCCTGCGGTCCAGCGTTCAACTATCTGTAAATCATCGGCATCTCGAAGTGCTACTACGATTCCAGTTGTAGACTATTTCGTCAATTGTCTAATGGGTTAATAAGGACTCATTTTGTGCCGTCGATTGAGCAAATCTTACACGACTGGAGGCCGTATTTATCCTAACAGTTAGAAGCCCTAGAAGCCTCCCTATATATGTTCAGAATGTAGCTTAGTCTAAGCCTTTAAATAGCCCCTAATGGCGGTAATCTACGTCGAAAATGTCCGTGAGGGAAGTAGGGGTAAAGCTTGCTCAAGCGCGCTACCCAATTTTATCACTCCTTCGCAGTGACCTTATCCCGAACAACTCTTGATACTTCCTCCTCAACCTTCTTATCCCCACCAATCATATCAATCCACAATCCCCCAACGACATCGCTCTCCAAGAGCCTAACCGCTACGTCGGCCACATCCCCCCTCGCAACTTCTCCAGTAGCTTTACACCTCCCCAGGGATACCAACCCGGTCGCTGGGTCATCACTTAACCTCCCGGGCCTGAGGCAGATATCCCTAATCCCCCACTTCCTCCCAACCTCGTATAGATACTCATCAGCGGCAGTCTTGGCCTCACAATATGCCCCAATAGTATCCCAGCCGCCCTTATAAGTTTCAACACCACTCTCATCCCACCAACTTGCCGACACCCTTCTCGCGACCGAAGCTGACACCATTAAAAATGTATCGACGGACGGAGTCTCCACTGCTGCATCGATGTACTTCTTCGCGGCGATCTCGTCAACGGCTTTGGTCCTTTGAGGACCACCTTTACCCCCAGCACCGGCGGACCAGACGACCCAATTGATGTTCTCCATCTCTTTTCGAATGCTGGATGGAGTGGATTCTTCCAGGGAGGAGACTAGCGGGGCAACGTTTCTCTGGAGAGATTCAACCATAGAGGATTGGGATGGGTCACGGATGACAGAGGTGATTTGGTGCCCTTTCTGCGCCAGGATTTTAGAGATTATTTGGGCGATTTTACCGTGCCCTGGGAGTGGGGTTGGTTAATTCATGAGAGAACGTCGGGCGGGAGAGGGGGGGCGTTCAATGTAGATTACCTCCTAGAACTAAGACGTTCACCATGACGAATTGAATTTCTGTCGAATCGACGGATTTTCTGTCCCTTTTTAGGGATGTGATCTTAGAGTACAAGAGGCTTTTGCTATTGCGGGGAGTTTGTAGAGAGGCTTTTGTCTCGGGGATGTTGGATATTGGTGATTCCCAAGAGTGCTGACACCATAATAGCCCCACCTAAGGATCCCGGGAGATCGGACCCACACTTTTCCTCCCTTAGAACCGACCACAGACTGCTGCGGCGAGTGACACGGATGAGTACAAGTATTGCACTCCGCCGAACAACTCTCAAAACTGCTTCGAATGAATCGAAACAAATAAGAAATCACCTCTCTTCTTCTTCTTTAATGGTGCATGGCATGGGAAGCTTAGAAATTAACAATTGGAGGCCCTATTTGGGAGAGGTGTTTTTATCCTCCTACCCGATGATAGGGCAGCTCAAACAACAGACGGTTCAAACCCGGTTTTAGCAGGTAGGCTAACTTATAATACCGCCCGGCCTGGGCAACTCAAGGGAGGTATGATAGATATACCTGACATATAAATGCTGAACTGTTGTCATTAAAAGTTCCTCTTAGTCTAACCCCCTTGTGAGGAGTGCCCCGACAAATTCTCTTCTCGAGTATTTGCAGCAGTCAACTCTTGGAACGAGGGATTGTCGGCCCCGCTGCCAAGCTGAAGACACATTTTTTACCCGTTGGGCCACACTTTTGTGGCTAAACTGTAAGGCGAACATACTCGAGTAAGCTCACTTTGTACGACCGAGGTAGAGGAAAGTATGGTGAATGTGGCTAACAGAATATCGTTGTGCTTGGCAGCCAAGACTTCGTCATACTGTTTCCCACCCCATTGTAAAATTTAAGGCGTACAATGCTCCTCCTTGCGGATATATATTGATATACCATCCCACTGTTGACCCACAGCATTTGCACTTGGATTCCACCCCCGCACCCCCCCCCCCGCAGCCTTCAAGACACACTTCAAAGCACACTCAACTACCGGCCAGGCCTTTTGCTTAATTTCGCCATGTCAATGAGTCCCATGGTTAATCTCTCATCAAAGTACAAAGAGTCAGACCAATGCTCCCTGCTGTCGAAATTTTGCCCCTTGAGCCCGATACTAACCCCTGTTTACTAGATTCATGTTTGATGGGACCGTCACATTGTTCGTCGGGCGAGATCGCAAAAAAATGGAGATGCATAAAAAACTCCTTGCAAGCATATCCCCAGAGCTTGACAAGCACGTCAACAACAACATGAAAGAGGGCATCGAGGGCACCATACATTTCCCGGAAGAGGGGGAAGGTATGGTCACACTTTTTACCGAATGGGCGTACACTGGAGAATATGCCATCGTGGACAATACACCGCCTCCCCATGCGGGGATCCAGACACAAGTAAAAGTGAATCTATGGCCTAAACTTCGCATGCACCTTGAACTCTACGTCTTCTCAGACAAATTTAACATACCCACCTTAAGACTACTCGCAAAGTCAAAATTCTCCCTAGCAATCAACACGGTCGACGTAACAGACCAGGTTGATGCGACCAGCCTGATTTCGATGATAGAGTATGTCTATGACAACCTCCCAGACTCAGACCCGATTCCAAAATTCCTCGCCCGATTTGCTTCTTGGAAATGGGTGTTTCTACGTGGGAGAGATGAATTTATTCGACTTATGTCGACTCAGCCGGAGTTCATGAAGGAATTGATTGTGAATTTGGCAGGCTTAGGATCCAGGCCATCCCTTTCTTGACGACAAGGGTCTGAGTATTGTGACTGCGAGTTATTGATCTCCATTTCTTTGATAATAAAGACACCTTGTACTCTCTCTTGCGGTGAAGGGTGGCGGGGTATACCCTCTTGCTCCCAGGAGGCTGGGCTAAATTGAGAGGATTTGTCGTGACGGTTATTTCTCTTTTTTTTTCTTTGGTGTCTACTAGTGGTGTTTTCCTTTTCTGCCTGCTTTTTTTATTTTGGGGGGATGTGCGGCTGGTTCCACACCAGGGGGGGGGGCTGTAGGATTGGAAGACACTGGACAAGGTTGGGATGCGTTTCTTTATGAGTTCCTTGGGCCTTTATGCCACAACTTAGGTTGAATGCAACGGATGATCCCCGGTCTTGTGCCTAAATCAATCCACTGACTTGACTCTTTCTTGTGGCAAGTCGGCGACATCACTGCTATAATTCACACAAGCGCAAGAATTGACCCCGCCTCCACAAAGCGTACGCCTCCAGCCAACCATATAGCAGCGGAAATATCTCTCATCTCATCCTCTGCCTTTGTACATCCTCAGCCGGTTCCTGAACCCAAAAACCCCAATATTCCAAATCGAGAAGCCATGCCGTAACTAAAGGTGCCCCCACAAAACTGCATTTTTCCAACTTGAAGCTTTGCACCACATAATGCCCACCTACCAGAAACAGTACGCTCTATTTTGTCTTTCGCGCGGAAAAGGAGCCCAATTCTTGGTGTCACACTATACCGTCTGACTCCCCTGCCCCCCAATGATAAGTTAAGCATCCCTTCTAGACCCGAACTGCATTTCGCCTCAACCTGGTTTGATAACGAACCTCAACCTCGATGAACACCATCCCTCAAGGCTACGCAGTGCGCCGTAGCGAGTAAATGAACAAAACCAAGGACTGTGCTGGGATGGGCCAAATTGCTGACCTCTGGCATGCCGAGCGTTGTAGGTTTTTGGTGAACCTTTACCAACCACGGTTCTAGGACTAGGCAATTGCAGACCTCTGACCCGCCGAGTGTTGTAATAGTGGCAGAATCAACATCAAGGCAACTTTTCAAACTAACAAAGTGTTTGGGGGCCATTATTTTGAATTTGAAACCATGATTTGGTGATTTTGAAGTCACATGCTAAACCCTAAAATTGTGAAAGACTCCAATCATGATTTCGAAATCAGATGTCCCCCAAACACCAAATGATCTGGATTACAGAATCATAAAAAGTATTTCTAAATCGCCACTTTTAGGGGAAAAAACTGTGATTTACCTCTATTTCTTTTGGCTCTCTCAGTATTTGGTCTTTTAATTCTACATACATGTAAAACATCATCAAACAATTCCCTCAAACTACGACCATTCCTATTTAGGCCATACAATAATTGACATAGTTATACTGTAGAAATATTTTCTTGAAAACCTTTATTCCCCCGATAATCTATAACGAACACTACAATCACTCTAATAATCCACCATATCTTCCATATCATATGACCCGCTCCCGGACCTTCCCTCAAGATGACCATCAAGGGTCTACCCTTGCAATACACTACACTCCGGCTAAGGCAGGGAGGTGCAATGGGAAAAATACTGTAAAGGAAATTAGTAAGAATAGCAGTATCCAAATGAACAGCGATCAAATAGCATACCTGTCAGCTTAGCTGTGTCCCACCAATCCACACCTTATATCAGTGTAAGGGTTTCTTCGTAGTCGATAAGTCCATTTTGAAAGAGGCAAATATCCGTAAGCACGTCACTAGGGTGAGCTATGTCGTTTCCTTTGTGAATTGCTGACTGATTACCCACCCCTCCTAGCCTTTCCTTGCGCCGGAATAAAGCTAAAAATCGCATCTGAATACCGACGGCTGCACTCTGTAGAGGATGCAGCATGGTAACCCTCTACCGTAGTGTAACACCCTTGCATCCTCCCCTAACTGCTTTGTCTCCTCCCGTGACTGTCTTATCTCCTCCTCCAAGCCAGCCTTCCAATGGGTCGTGACCTTTCAACCCGGGTTCTCCGTTGGGTTCCCCGGGTCCGCTGTGTTGCGGCACGGAACCCACCCCATTGGTTGCGGTGGCTTCCGATAACCCCGGCGGATATTGTGAATGGCTGTATTTGCCAAAGCGTCCTTTTCGGGTATTGGCAGTAAGGAAATCTAATGATCCAGGATGCAACTGAGCACAATATTAGTGTATGCGGGAAGTGGTCGCTGTTAGGATCTCTAAGGGGAGTGAGTTCTCACCCATCCTCGGCCTTCTCCACACAACGGAAAACAAGCTCAAATAAGCCTGCAGAAAGGAGGGCAGAGTGGTAGGGGGAGAATGAGAGCTATTTCCGACGGTAGAGATGGATACTTGATGGGTTCAAAGTATCACTGGCACGAGTGCAGAAATTCTCATAAACGTAGAGACTTCATTCCCCTGCCCCCAGAGGTGTTCTCTTCTTCCATTCCCCCTCTACCAGTTATCTCTAAACTAACTATATGAAAGGGGTATTCCCCTTACCCATAGTACTCCCAGTACTGATGACGAAACTTCCTCCCTATACGTGTAGAAACACGTAACTCCATGCTGTGCCTCTATTCTCCCCTAACAATACCATACGGAGATAGCCCCTAAATATTGTATATTTTACCAGCAATGGGGGTTCGGTAGCGCAGGCAGAAGCATGGTAGCATGGAATTTGGAATGGTGACTACCTTATTCATTCCCTCATTCCCTAACTCCTGCTAGCGGAACACCAGTCCCTAGTAAAATATACAATACTTAGGGGCTATCTCCGTAAACTCCCGATAAATCCACCATCGTTAATCTGAGCAACCTGAGACAAAATAAGCCATAGTTTTTCCAGACGCAGTATAGCCTAGGTGAGCTGACCTTGCTATATCTCATTAACTGGTATTCGCAACTCTATCAACCTACTTGACTAAGCTTGTTGTGGCTTAGTCTAGCAATTCCTGCTGCGTAAACCCCCCTATAAGCGCGCCAAGTTCCCGATCCCCGATGGTGGGGAGTTTACGGTAGCTTTCTGAATTCAGGTTTCCAACCGTCCAGTCCGTCCGTCTTTTGGTCCGGACAGGACAAGCTGCGGTAGATGGGAGTATGTCCGGGACGGACGGGCATCGTGGCGTCCAGACCACTACCCGGGGCGGACGGCCGGGCCCTGTAGAAAATGGCCGGAAGATCAGCGATGGACACGATCAAGCTTGAGCATAAATTGTGCTCGAGCACACCCAGATTTTGTGATCGACCATGATCGTGTCCATCACTAATACCGATGGAGAAAGCGTTCGTCTGACAATGGATATTTATTTGGGAAGGACAGAAGAGAGGAAAAAAGAGGCGAAACTGAGATAGAGAATAAACGAGTTTTAGCGGAAAAAGAAAATGTTTGATAAAAAGATAAATGGGTTAAATTAAATTCAGCCAAGGGAAGCAATCAGGAGCAAGGCAAGTCAAGAACGTTTAGCCTTATTACCAATAGAGACAGAGTTTTCCAGATAATATGTTTGATGAGGAAGGAAGCGAGAGGAAAATGAGCGAGAGAAGGACCGCTCTCATGGCATTTAGAAGGGGTTTGTTCGCTGAGTGGTATCATCAGGATAGGTATGAATAGGTGTACGAGTACTTTACAGCACAGTACTACAGAACTCCACAAGTAAGCAGTGGTCTACGGCTTAAAGTTATTCAAAAGTTGAGTTGAGCAGCAACGGATCACCTAAGAGATCGTTCTCACGTGAGCGGGATTTTTGGTGGTCGCGGCCTATTCCAAGACACAGCTTATTTACGAAATTCTACAGTACTGTACAAGTACTCGGAAGCCTTAAGACAGGCCCACCAATTGTTCATGTTTCTTTAACATTTGCTGCTTTCTTTGAGATGTTTGCTAATTATAGCTTAAGAAGAGTTCAAGCGTAAGGATCCGAAAATTCAGTGCCAGTTCGCTGACTTGAAGAGAGGACCGGAAACCATGGCCGATGACGATTGGGCGAACTTACCTGAAGTGGGAGGTCTTATGAGGAGGAGTAGGATGGCGATACAGGCCATATGATTGATGTTCAATCCCACCCTAGAGTCGGTATTTGTCAATTATTCCGGTTCACAGTTTGAGACGCCTGTCCAGGTTTAAGGCACCTATACTGTTTCTACCGATGCAGTGGATGTGACTATTGGTCTATTACAAACTTTGGAGAGATTGGGAACACGAAAACAATGGTGCTGGTGGTAAGGCTAAATATATCTGCGGGGGGGTTCCAGTGACATGCACATTGTTCCAAAAGGCTACTTCACCCTGCTCAACTGGAGGACCACACAAACTGTAGAGTGGGTCGGCGATATTGAGTGTGTCGCGGAGCTATTACAGAGAGTATCATAAGACGAATACCAAAAACATGGGCCTGGTGGGACCGCAGCCGCCCGTCTTGAGGAAGTAGCTGGTATAATGGTCCAAGCCTGAACTCCTATTGCCCAAGGCTTTGAACATTGCCTAAATACCAAAGAGGAATGGTTGGAAAAATGCGCCTAAACAACCAAACACCAAAGTTATAGTAGCAGACCCGGTCCGACACAACCCCAAATCCGTTAAGCTATTGTTGGAGGCAACGGAACTTTAAACAAAACTATCGGTAAAGAAAAGAGTCTTCTGCGAAGCTCGCGACATCCTCCCTCATTCAGTTGTCCCCTATAAAGAAGTCAAAACTCGAGGAAGACCCAGCAGCCACTAAAATCCTCCTTGCTAGAGCTGCCCAACTGGCCACCCTGAGCATAGAACTCTGGTTGACCCTAGCAGTCCTAGAAACCTTCAAAAACTTACAATTGCTCCTCAACAATACCCACAAGGCCATTCCAACAAGTCCAGAAAACTGGGTCGCTACAGCAAGGCTCTAAGGTCAGCAAGGCAACGCCATGAAGCAACCTGCCCAAGCCCTCTCCTGAGTAGAAGCAGTGCTCACTCGTGAAGACTGGATTAAAGAAGCCGAAAAGTGCGAACAGGGCGCCGTCGAGATCTGCCAAGCTATCATCCTGGAAACCCCTGGCTGGAAACTGGAAGACAGCGACAGGAAGATCTGGATGGGGGATGCTCAAGCTTCTACCTCTAGAGCAAAGTACGAAACTGCTAAGGCGATATGTATACACCACCACTTTAAGTGTATTGCGGGTGAAAAAGAGCATCTGGCGCGGCTGCGGACCTTTAAAAAAATCTACGGCGCGAAAGAAGCTCACTGGAACGTCCTCGGACAGGTAGTTGAAGCCCACAGAGTGAAGTTTTATACCTGATGCTCGTCAAAGAGAAACGGCAAGCAGGTATT